CTACGTGTTTGAACGCAACAAACACGGATTGGAGCATGACGCAGCGAAAAGCCTGATATTTCTTCGTAGTAAAATCGCACTCCAGTGATACGTAGTCACGTTCCCATTGGCCCACCTGGGCCAAAACTTCCGCCGCACTGGCATGTTATGCCATTGCGGCTCCCTGGACTACCCAGAATTTCTTGCTTTAGACACTAGGCTAAGCGGCGCCCCCAGAGTAATAGCTCACGTTTGAACAATGCAGGCCACTCCCAGGCACACCCGATGATTCTTGCTTCAGTCGCTAGGTAGCGCCAAACCAAACAGCATTGCAGGTTGCCTGAAGTAAGGCGATATCTACCTTTGGGCTATAAGAGACATTTTAAGACAAAGCAGTACCGAATTGTAGTACCATTGTGACATTGCGTATTTTTTGGCTGCAGCATTTCTTCGCAGGATGCTCCAAAAACGTCGACCGTTTATCCGCTCGACAAAAACTGGGAAAGCCGAACGAGGCGTACGTGAAATTCAAAGCGCCACAAAATACAGTGCAAAACCTATTGTTTTCCCTGCTCCAGAAAAATGAGGGATATGCATTGTCTGACCAAATTATGCTTGGGCTGCAGTTAATTGAAAGGTTGGGCAGCAATCATTATTACCTCCGTCCCTGCGTCGACTACGTAAAGCTTCATTCTGTATTAGAGGAAGGGAGCTCTCGGACCTATCCCCAAGACCAAACGTGCATAGAAGACTCGGAAGCATGTGTCATCGGGTTTCGTCAATTTGCATTCGAATCCCCATCCCTCGAGATACCATGTAGGCGGTTGAAAAGCCTGTGAGTTGTTATGACATTAACATTAAAAATGCTGGCACCTTTACGTTTTAGCAATTTGTTATATTCCCTCCTTGCTAAAAACGAACAAACAATACTTATGTTTTAGATAAATAAAGAATAAACACGCCCCGTCAAAGGGGAATTGTTTATCCTATAGCTACTGCACAATATAAAATATTACTCTGAGATTTTCACTCTAAGGTCAAGTTCTTGCTCCTTCCAGCGACTTCCGGAACAAAACCTGGCTCAACCTCGAACCCTGGCTGTCGGCGGAGAGGGTCACGTAACAAGATTGGTTGGATTGGGTTTTTATGGCGCAAGGGCTGGCTGAGGCCAAAAAGCGCCAAAAAAGGAAACTCACGTAACAAGAAACGGAGTCACGTGGTAGGGGGTAATTCGGAAACAACGAACAAGGGCAGGGTCACATCTGCGGGGCACCACTGCGTGGTAGCGCAAACTTCACTGCGAATGTGTGGACATTTGGAATTTCGTCTGTGTTTTAGCCTGGCGCGCTTGTCAGCCTTCAAACTGCAAGGCGCGTTGCCGCTGACAGTATCGTTATACTTGATATTTCGCCGCCAACATTTTCTGTTTCTAAATGCCCTACTTTACAATTAAGACTGGCCGATTACACGTAATGTTAAGATGGCGAAGTTAGGCAATAATAATTCCACTCTCCTTAGAAAGTTCATTCAGAGAAAAGACTTTGTTCATTTTTTACGATTGCAGACAGCATAGAAACAACAAGAAAAGAAATATAGTTGATTAACGTAGAAGTTTGGACTAGTTGGTATGCACAGAAGCTAATAGATATGGTAAAAATGATATCGCGTTCACTAAAAAGCACCAAAATCAATTCGTGGCTTGTGTACAGGGAGTGGTCTATTCCATTTCATTAACATGCGGCCATTGTTATGTCGGTCAAACAGGAAGATACGTCAATGATCGTCTCGGAGTACACCGATATAATGTTTTTTTTAAAGTTTTGTCGGGTCACATTGGGGATGCTCTGCAGAGATTGTGGTGGCATCCCAGTCTTCGACAAAGGCCAAGTGGTTTTTAAAAATAAGGACAGTCACGCGAGAAATTATAGAAGCTCGTGATATCGCAAGACTGGGACTAGATTGTGTTCCCGTCGAGCGTGCTTTCAGATAAAGAGCGGCAGTACTTGGAGCGAGGAGGACAAATCAGTCACGGTGTCGTATTGAACATTTGATACGCATTTTTGTGTCTTTCCTCGATTTATTTGGTGTGGCAAGTTTGCTATTTATACTAGATGCTAACATAAATAAAATGTTCAGTTGAGAGTCAGCGCTGTGTCCTCTCGGTTATCTTTTACTTCGTCCTCGTCTTTGCGCTGGTTTCTTTTTCATTATATATACGAAAAGAAATGTTGAGGATAATATTCCAAGGCCCTGCCGCTTTTGCTTCAAGAATATATTGCTCTCCCCAAAGATTATCCGATAAAAGATAATAATTTGGATTGATTATTCCCAAAGCAAACGAATACCCTGATTATCAGAAATAATTGGAGTACTAGTTCCTGTATTTCCAATTTAGCATTTAAATGGCCATTTTTTTTTACCAATTTTCATTATAATATAGTGAGAACAAATTCCAAGCCGAACAACTTGTACACCATAATGTCCAGTAAGAAACAGCGGGGCGGGGGGGGGGGGGGGGGGGGGGGCTTTTGTGGATGAGGTTGAAGCTTGAAGGTCTGCAATACCCCTGAGCGATTTTCAATACTTGGACCTCCGTAGATTTATGTGGCCATAGAAGATGACTTTGTAAGCAAAACCTTGACAGTGCATCATGAATATGTGTAGCTGTTTACCTGTTCAGTCGTTTCGCTGAGTGTGCATAAGTACTTCGGAAGAGGCAAAGATAAATCTCGAGGAGCACCGAACTGACTCACATAGTGACAAGCAGCAAAATGTCACAAAATGTTCTGATCGCACAATGACAGTAAGAAAGAACGTTTAGTGCATTTCTTCTCTGTTCTTCTGTTTTTCTGGGGGGGGGGGGGGGAGGGGGGTCTGTAATGTTACCTCACGAAGTGCCTGTTTTCACAAACAAACACTAAAGTGATCTTCAAAAAAGAAAAAAAAAAGTATGATATAAAACGAAAGTTTTACAAACTTAATCTTTTTTTTCTCTTTTTTGTTCGCGGAAAGAAACGTTTTGCGACCGCTTCACACGGCGAGGCAGGCCGCATGCCGCGGTGCGAGACATCTACAGTCAACGTTACCTCAGCTTAATGGCTCATTATGTTCATGCTTCTTGCTTTGTGATTCGTTCTTCGATGTTTTTTTTTTTTTTTTTTTTATTTTTTTTATCGGCTTATGCCGTAATTTCGTTGGCTTTGGAGCGATAATCAGATGCTTCGGATTCGATATGACTTAACTCAAAAACACACCTAAATCCGGTCACGTGACTCGACGCGTTTCGCTGAACTGGATCACGAAATCACGGAGCACACGAGTGGCCTGCCGCACCAGCAAGTCTCCCATACTCGTTTTCACCTCAAGAACCGCAGTAAAAAAAAGTTCCGCTCCTCGCGCAGCATTACTGATTTCCTCCTTTACGTAGACAATTAAGATATATGTAGGTTAATTGTACATTAGATAGATGCTTTCTTATTAAGACGTACAGGTTCCAAACGCCAAAAGCATCGCTTTTTCCTCCGTCAACCAAATCTCGTAAGAACTATCTTCGCGCCGCATATAAACAATGCGCAAAACTTTTTTTTTTTTTTTTCTTAGGTGGAAACGGGTATGGTGTCTGCCGAGGTTTCCCTCGAAGAAGAAAACTTTATTGTCCCAGCAAAGTTAGTGGGGTGACGGGTGCAGCCGTCTCCGCGTCCTAGAAGTCGGCCAAAGATTACGTAGACGGAACGAAAGCAAAACGCGGCTCGGATTGCGCAACGTCGGGCAAGCCGGTGCAAAAGGATAAAGCGCTTCGGCCTAGCTCAGTACGCGCTGAGTAGACGGAGGAAGTTCCCGATAAACAGTGGAGTACGCGCTTTGTCATCTCGCCTTGTTTTTGTTTCTAAAATAGAGCGTTTGATTTGGCTGAGTTCCACATTCAGTAGTAGGGAGTCATTGTTTTGATCCCAGGTTCCTTCCCGCGGACTGAGTAACGTCGCGATTGCTTTGTGCTCGCATAGCGCAGTGACATTTTGACGCCATCACAGCGAGATCGAGCGCGATCACGGATTCGACGTAATGGCTGCGTCAGGGTTAGGTGGAGCCATGGTGTCCAGTCAACATCCTCGGCCTCTGGGTCAGGTTCATTTCCTCAATTGGCAATGACGGAGTGTTATGATGTTCCGTGGAGGTCAAGGAGACTCGGGCTTCGATTATGCTAGGTGGCATTGGCCAGGCAGCATTGTTTCAAACCGGGCAGGCCACGATAAAAGCGTTCTCCTAAGAAGGAGAAGAAACAAAATTGTTCGCATTTATTTTAGAAAATCCCCGCCGAAAATCACGTTACCGGCTTTTTTCGCCTCCGCCCTCGCGCTTTTGTCTCCCACTAGGCTGCGTGCGGTGAGTAAAATTGAAACCCATGTTTCACGGTCCCTAGAAGGTAGAAGTACAATTTAGAGTAACGGCATCACGTCCGTGATCGCACAACACTGCACAGAACTGCGATAAAACCAAATACCTTACAAATTAAGCCTCACAAACTGAGCGTTCTATAAAGTACGCCCGCAAGCAGCGTTAAGCAGCAGACAAATGAGCGACGAAAGGCACGCCGCGCGGCAGTTTCCGTAGCAACTGCCGCGGACGCTGTGACCTGACCCATGCCATGCCTCGCATCACAGCGTCCATGCAAGTTGCTATGGAAACTGCTTCGCGGCGCGGGGCGTCATCGCGCATGTGTTACCGCGACAGTCCGTATTCCGCAGCGATCATGTTCCGTTTCATAACCACCACATTTGTGAACGATCAAGCACCAACGGCCACGACTTTAACAAAAACAAATTAGGCGTTTTTAAAGAGCCTTTGCGTGTAAACGAGCCAAATAAAATAAGTACGCAAGCTAACCATTAAATATGTTCACACGAATTATCAAGTACCAACTTCCATACTACTCATTTGTCTGCCGAAGCCAACCTGTAAGAATTCAGCGTTCTGACGGTCGTAAAAAATACACAGTATTCGTTGGTATTACAATAACTTACAGGTCCAAACGGCGTCTTTCGAGGTTTGCGATCGCCTTCCACGTTGTTTTCCACCTTCTCCTCGGCGTTTTCGCCACTCGAAGCTCTCGCAATGGGCTGTCTCTGATCAGTCTCGTCCTTCTGTTCTTCGGACATTGTCTGCACTCCAGTGGTAACTTTGAGTCTCGGAGTAGTAGTGCGCTCCCGACGCTATGACTGCTCCGAGGTGTCTACGCGATCCAAACTGCGCCAACACGCCGGACTTTTTCCCGCCGAGTTCTCCCGCCGCTTCCGGCGCACACCACCCGCGCAGCAGCTGCGAGGAGGCGTCCGGGGTTCAAGGGCATACGCGCATACGTGCCCAAGCCTTCGCGCTTACTCGTTCTTCCCTTCCCCTCGACTTTCTCCGTCAGTCTCCCCCTCTCGTCTCGACTGCAAGAGGCGCGGTCGCTGGTCGGTCGTGTACGCACAAACACATATTCAGAAGCGAAGGGATATAAATGAAGACGCCTCTTAGATCCACCGCCCGAACGTCCATGAAAAATGTATAAGCGATAATAAAAGGAGTTTCACGAAACGTCGCTCACAATGTTCCCGAGAAAGATTCTAGTTGAAACTTCCATACCGTTAAATTTACTAATAAGTTCGTTACTCCAGAGCCATTATTTGCCTAGTTATACCCCACGATATTAATTTTTACGAATAGGTCCCTGTGGCAAAAACCAAAACAACCCCCTCGTTTTTTTTTTTTTTTTTTTTTTTTTGCGGTGTTTATTTTTTGCAAGGACGATTTTGTCGGCTTTTCGTGAAACGCCCTGCACATAGAGATTTGGGGAGCACAATATAAGGCAGTGTCAAACCGAAATTTTTAACGGTTCGGTTCCGGTTCGGGTTCTGAGCTTTCGGTTCAGGTCCGGGTCAGTTCCGGGAGCAAAAAATGACGGTTCGAACCCGTGTGAACCGCTAAATTTAGAACATATTGTCCGTGTTTTTTTTTTTTTTTTTGCAATATGAAGTAAAATGAGTAACTATATCACCGTTTTATCATACGTAAAATTCACTTTTATTTTCAGGTACCAAAAATAAATTGCGCTATTTAATTCTGCTGAAACAGTAAAAGGAACACTAGATTAACATATATAACTGAACATTTTTTTTTATTACTTCAGTTAAATATATTTTACCTGAATGGAAAGTTTCTCAGTCTGGTAGGTCGCCTAAAATACCCGTGATTGGTCCAACTTTGCGTCGCAGTATTAAACATTGAATCCTGTTGTGCTCTTGAACTTAAGAATTATTTACAGCGCATAAAATCAAAAAAATGAGCTCGTCCTCGCTATATATATATTGAAATTTAGTTTAAAAAAATATGTTTCCCAATATATGTGATGACGACGCAACTGAGCTAAAACTAGTAATATTTTCAAAATCTCAAGACAATTTTAGGACATACCGTTTCAGTCTACCTTTTATACAAAAATAAGCTGCAATCAAGACACTTGCCTCCCTGATCAATATTGTTTACGCTAAGCACCGTGACGCAGGCGAATAATCATGCAGAAGAGAGTGGCCTTTGTGTTTAGATTGGGTCTGGTCTGAAAATAGCGCGTTCCGAAGTGAACATTTTTGACATAGCATTGTTGTTTGAGGTTTGTTCTTGACAAGATGACGCTCAATTCAATTAGCAAATAACCATCACCCTTGCTCATTTTTAGTTGCTAAATAGAAAAAAAGTAGTATTTCATTCTCTACTCCGCTTGACATTGCAGCTACAGAATTGGTCACTTTCTGACGGTCTGCGTGCGCAATCGTCATAGCTCCGCCACTCGCCACTGTGTACTTTGTTTTCGTCCAGCTCACATACAAATGAAATTGTTGCTCATCACTTAAACAAGGCAACAGACTTCTATATGCCTGAGAAGTTGAATATGCGTCAGGAACAGATATAATTAAGTTATTTAAATCGGCTTAAAAACATGTTTAAGGTTTTCCCAAATCACTTTCGAGAATAGAAATGCGGAAAATGATTTGCAGAACATATTTCATATAATTTGGGGGTGCATTTACTTATGATGTATATCTTGAGGGCGATCGGCGCTTTATTTATGTTGTAAAGTCTTCAGGCAGTAATAAAATATTTTTTTATTTTTATTTTCATGAATAAATTTAATAGTATGAAGTTCACATAACCGCTTGAGACCGACACGGGAGGACGATACTCGAAAATACGCCATCTGCTGAGCCTGCGGAAACGTTTTTTTGTTGTTTTTTTCGCTGTTTGGCAATATTATACATCGGGTCGCGGGGCATGCTAAAAAGGACTGTGTGCACAGATATTATATATCTGAAGGCAAATACAAAAAATCTGCAGAAAGAGGGATAATCAATTGCATTCTTCTAAATAATCCCATAAACGATGCCTTACAGCAAAACGAAATATATAAAGATGCATGTTTTAAACGTAAAAACGTTTCACGGAAATCCGTATGGTTGGGTCATATATTTGATGAATACAGACGTTTTCCAACCAAGTCCTAAACAGTTAGAAGCCCGCCGTTTCAATAGGTCGGGCTAAATAGGTCGACAGGCACTTAACCATCGGCGTATGTCAACGGACTATAGGGCACTTGAAGAAGAAAATTGAGTCAAGTGAACGGACACACCGTAGATGGAAAAGAAGCTGCTGCTCTCCACGTGCAAATTGTCACCCCTGATGAAGAAACCGAATCGGTTTTGAAACGTCGAGCTCCTTACTGTTCAGGACTTGGTTGGTATTTCTCTAATATTTTGTATTTCTCTAATGGGAGATGCGTGAAATGATATGCCTAATCACACATAAATAGCGCGAAGGACATACAATATATAGTTGAACGTGAGCGCGTTGGTTTCCATATTCCTTCTGTAACAAGTTAACAGACAATATATTTCTAATTTAAAACACATTTGGACGTCGGCTTGCAGCTTCACAGAATACTGTCTCGGTAGGCTAATGTTATATTTCGGTTTTCATGCACCTGTTTTGGTGCCTCATTTTACAGCTGCGTTCCTTATCAGTCATGCGCGATCCAACATTTCATTAGGCTGCGGCACATCACCGCGAGACTGCTATATACACGCTTTGCAGCAGCTGTGCATGGACGCCGCCATAACTGACCTTCAGTTTTTGTTTCCTCTTATTTCGTTTATTGGACGTTTATCATTACCATAGCAGGCCAGGTTATTGCCATGTTAGATTCAACTGTGTCCTTTTTTAAAGCGTCGGCCTTTGTAGAGGATCGTCAACTACCGTTTCAGTTGCTGGGCGTCTCGGTAAGACAAGAGAAGGTCAGCAATGGCGGACGTAATTTGGCGCGTGTGTAAAGCGTCTATATATTGCACAAGTTTACAATTTGGATTTTCGCTAGTGTTGAGAACATCGTATTTTACCATGAAACTGATCTGTTCAACATGGTGTTAGGACATGACGTCATCGCACTATATGCTGGTGGTCATTGAGATTTCTTGTTGCTGAGAACATGAAATTCCGTGGTGCAAAATGCACGCCGTAGAAGGGTTCGCGCTCAGTGCAACTCATGTATTCAGAAACAAAAATTATTCTTTCTTCGTGTAGCGCCGTAAGGAACGACGCGAGCGTCTTGCACCACGAAAACACGCTTTCTGGTAGCAGTGTTTTGGGAAACGAAGTAGTTCCTGGGACCACGCTTTTTGTTTTATGCCGAAGATGCGGAGCAGAGGAACCTTTACGACAAAGTTACGTTTTCAAAGCTCTCTCCGCCCCCCCCCCCCCCCCCCCCCTTTTTGTTTAAATCTTTTACGATGCTCTTTCGAATAATACTTTTTATTAGTGAGGTACTCCTTCCTCTGTTTGGAAGTGCCGATTCGACAATTATATTTGTGCCATTTCTTAACAGCAATTCTCAATTTATTTTATTTTGCACCCAAAAACTGTGAAGTTCAAACAAAACTGCGAGAATTTGTGCGGCTGTCAACGTTCGGCTGTCCCTCTGAGCCCACTAGAATCTTTCCTTTCGGCTATCCCTGCCTTACGCACCTGTAGTTCTATTTACCGTCAGATTAATAAGCCATATTTAGTCCTTTCAATGCTTCTATTGTCCGGGGCAACTTTCTGAGAAAGTTCAGCAACAACGAGAACCTGTTTGCGTGCCTCAATAATGTGTACATGTAAAATGGGTCGTGCAACAATTTTTTTTTTTGCTAAATACCGCTAAGACCTAATCCCTGACTTTGATAACTTGAAAAAGCACTCATTAGTTTCCATCTCCGCCTAATGACAGAAGCCGGAAAAAATAAAGAAAAGGAACAGCTTTTCGCACCTTAACTCGTTATTAGAACAAGCGCCGATGTGGTTCGACGTTAATTGTATACCGCCAGTGTTCATCATAGTCATGCACTGCTGATCAGTCTGAAATTTGAACGCTTTGCGGTTCAATCGTTTTTTAGCGATTGATCCCCCAATATAGGGTTCGGCATGTCCGGAGTTTATTTGTCGTGAATTTCCGAGGGTAGTTTTTGGAGTTCAATTTTCTACCAAAATATGTGATTTATCAGAATATATGTGCCCCTCTCTTCGAAATTCTGAGTTTATTTGTGCTGTGTTCTCAACATTACACAATTAACAATAAATGTAAATAACATCTAAACTCAAACGTACCCAAATTCCTCTGTAATCTCAAATTCCCAGAACTTCAGTATAAATGTTGCTTGAACGAACGTCACCACTAAAATCAATAAGCACCTAGACGTCCTTCAGAGAAACTAAAGTTTCGTATTTTTTTCTCGTTATAAAAAGACAACCCCTCCACCAATAACAAGCACAAACAGTATTATAGTCCAAAGTCGAAACCGAATCAGTAGCTTTTGTCGTCACCCAGAAGTGCAGTGACCGGGCTGTTGTTCTGAACGAACCTTGATGAAATATACGGTGGTCAAAAAGGAAATAAAGTGAACTCTCTCTGGGACCACTAACGGAACTTACCATCTTTCCTTCTTCATCGTAATCTTGAAATTTAAAGATTTTAGAATAAATCCGAATTGACAAAAGCTTTGCCTACAAGTGTGTGTTATTTTTATCGGTTTTATCCGGAAATACGACCGCCTATTTTCAAAGTTAGCAAAAGAAAGTTCACAAAATGAAAACTAAGAAAAGTGTGCAAGCGATCTGGTTCATTACTGACATGATAACTTAGGAGCGGGGAAAAACCGGAGAGACAACGCATAACTCAAAAGCTTCTTTTTTTCTTTTTTTTTTTCCGCTCATGTGTTCGGGCAGGTCGTTTAGGATAGAGCCG